TTACACTCATATAAATCGATTTACACTATGCTGGGTGATTAAATCTAATGCCCATTTGACTACCAACACACCACAGTCCAAGCAGCACATTTCAGGATCAAACAGGGGAGTAATTGTATTCCATTTCAAGCGTAAAGTTACAGCAAGGCAGATTCAAACGTGTACCTGGTAAATGCAAATAAGAAAAGGAAAAGATCAGCAGCAGTGACAGTTTTCGACAGCAGCCCAGGAATAAGTTAAAGTCCAGTAACAGCTCAGTCAACATAGCAAGTTCAGGGATAAAGTGATGAACCAAGACAGCAACAACTTCGAGCATCAATGCAAATCAAAACCAACTTGACTACTCAGACTTCATTTTACAGCAGCTCAAATACACCCTAATGACTCTCTTTGCAGCAACTTTCAAATGTTGAACAGTACACTCGTAAACCAGCTTGTTTCTGATCCTAATGCTGATATTAGTATTATTCTGAAGGAATTTTAGGCTTCCAGAAACTTTGTATAATGCCTTTTGGGAGGGGGTTTAGATGTCTGCCCAGAAAAAAAAACCTCCTTCATCAAGGCAAATGAATGCCTACTTATAGGTGAACTTAGGGTCCAATTTCAGATTTTCCTTTTACCCCTTAGTCCCTATTCTAATTTCAGTGTTTACCCTTTACTTTCTGACTTGTTACACAAGTAACTACCCTAAGTTTATTAAAACCTACACTATAGTCCATCCTAGAAGGTTCTATACTTATTACAATCCCTATTCTATCCTTACCCCCCTTCAAAAATTACCAAATCTGATAAAAGTACCCCTTTCCCATGCCTAAACTACCCTTTGAACCTCCTGAAATTACTGGCCAGACCAAAACCCTTTTACTGTAATTGCTGGTCACTATCTTGTTCAGCTATAGCCAAAAGATCCCACCAAATTGAATTTTTGCACAATTAACCAATCATGAAATCCAACCTAACCATGAACTACAAACTGCAGTGACCACTCATGAATCAACTAACTAAACTAAACAAAAATTAGACCTATTGGAATAAATTTAAATCAAACATGAAGACTGAGAACAGTACCTCCACGAAGATCATTAACAAATCATAAAACTTAATTAAACCCTAAACATGGAACTGTTAATACGATTACTAATTAAACTGATCTAAACTAAACTAAATTAATTAATGCTAACTAACAGCAGCCATAAGAGATTACTAATCAGTTCAGATGCTGAGGAACGAATTGAAATCCAAACAAAGCTCAAACAGGATCGACCAGACTCGAAACAAATCGTAAACTAAACTTAGAACAGATACGGAAACCCAAAAATAAGAATCAAAAATAGAAGTAATCAGCAAACTTACTGAATCAGAGCATTCGACTGACCATGGGGAAACTCTGACCGGCCATTTGTTTGAATCCTCCGGGATTCTTGACACGTAACATCCCTAATCGTGTGTTTTCAAAAGAACACACATGATTAGGGAAATTACGGTCCAAAATCCCCCAAGATTTTTTGAGCTAGGGTTCTGCCAGTCTAAGATCTAAAATTCGAGAAGCTTTGGCAATATTCGAAAGATTCTGGTTAGGGATTAATATGAGGGAGGGATGAGGGACATATGGTACGAATTTGGGCCAGTTTGGGTGAGTTTGCGACTTGGCCGGAAACTTTTGAACGGATATTCGACGAGTTCCAGTAAGATTTGAAAGCAAAGGACAGTGGATTCAGGTAAAGGAGGAGAAGGGGAATCTGGGGTGTAATTTTGGGGTTGATCGGAGCATCGCCGCCGGCGGCGCTAGGGCGGAGGACGGCGGGGCCGTGGTGGTGTTATACCGGCGGCTATATGCGTCTCTAAGGGATGGGGATGAGAGAGAGGTGGTGAGGGGGGTAGGGGGGTGTGTTTGGACATATATATATTAATTGACCCTAGCTTCCTGGCCGTTAGATCATGAAACCTCGACGGCCAGGATTGACTAGGACCAAACGACATCGTTAGGGCTGGGCAAGGGAGACGGACCGGGCAAGGCGTTTGGGCCAGCGTTTTGGGCTGGAACTGGGCAAAATTGGGCTGGGATTTGTTAAACAAGATCTGGCCCAATTCCGGGCATTTTAATGAAACCCAATTGTTTTCTTTTGTATTTTCTTTAATTGCTTTTGTATTTTATTTTCATATTTTTTATATATAAAAAAAAATGCTAAAAATAAAACTAAAACAAATTGACTCTAACAATTATATTTCCTAATTAATTCCTAAAGAGAAATACAAACTAATGCCAAAATGCAAAATGGACCCTCCTTTTTTTGTTATTTTCTTAACATTTTTTCTAAAATCAATTAATGCTAAAAATATGAAATTAAATCCTAAATGCAAAAATGCACATTTTTTTTTGTATTTTCATATGGATTAAAATGCACAAACAAACAAAAATGCAACAATTGCCAAAAAATGCCACAAAATTCACAAAAATTTGTAAAAATGCTAGAAAAAATTGTTTTGTTTGAGATTTTGGGAATTATTACTTAGGGCAAAAATCACGTGCTCACATACATAATCTATTAGGTGTAACAAAAAATGGAGCCCAACAAATATGGGGCCTAAAGCGGTTGTTTTNTTTCTTGCAATTTTCTTTACATTTTATTCTAAAACTAATTAATACTAAAATTGTGAAATTAAATCCCTAAATGCCAATGCATATTTTTGGTATTTTCATATGGATTAAAATGCACAAATAAAAATGCAACAATTACCAAAGAATGCCACAAAATTCACAAAAATTTATAAAATACTAGAAAAAATTATTTTGTTTGAAATTTTGGGAATTATTGCTTAGGGCAAAAATCACGTGCTCACATTGTGAACTATTTGAGCCATTTTTGAAGTTACATAGAGGTTTAATCCTTGAATGAACTTAATAAAATACTATTCTGTGATGAAATTGCTGATTTAAGCTATGGTAGCGCACTTTGCACATGCTTACACTTAGCATGTCATTTTTACTTGTCCAGGAACATAAGATTTGTTATTTATTCATCACATTCTTGTTTATTTGCTCCTGTGTGATATGATTGGACCAGGTGTCTGTGACCACGCCAAGCAGATTGTGTTGTTATGCCTGTGACCACACTGGGCAGATGGTGTTGTTATACCTGTGACCACGCCGAGCGGATTATAATTTTGAGCCTATGACCATGACGTGTTGGTAGCACATTGAATTGGTCGTGCATGCGTGCGCATATGGTTCTATCCCCCTAGGGTCACCCTCTCATGTCTCTCTCTTGATGGTGTACACGTGGATATTGAGGAAAACTGATAAGTGGTTTGGTATGGAATTGAATAGGTTGAGGAAATCAGGCTAGTGTTTGTTTGGATTTTGCATTTCATCTTCACTTGAAATTTTCGTGATTATTTATCTGATTTAACTTCATATCATCTCTATATGCTGAACATTCTCTGAGTATAGTAATTGAGAACATGTACATATACATACACATATGCTTCTTCATGTGCTTTATGACGTGATTTCATTACTGTTCTGTACTTGTTAAAATGATGAAACTGTACAGGTTATAGCTAGCATCATTATAATTTGTGATTCTTTTACCTCGTCAAGGTTAGATATGATACTTATTGAGTACATTGGATCGATTATACTCATACTACACTCTACACTTCATGTGCAGATCCAAGTACATCTGGACGCAGTGATTGCTAGATTGGTGCTAGTACCTGCTTGGAGACATTGAGGTGCTTGCTATGACGCTTGCAGACCTTGATTCTCCTTCCTTTTATTTTATTCAGTACTGTTATACTATTTAGACCGTTGTATTAGAGTTTGTTTTATGTTGAGATGTTGTAGTACTCATGTTCTCGTTGACACCAGGTGCTGTGATGGTTGTAGTAGAGTTTCGGTTACTTTTATTAGATATTTATGAGATTTGCTGTTATGGAGTTAATTAAACATGTTTTATTCAAATGTTTAGCTGTTTTGTGGTTGTCGGCTTGCCTAGCAAGTGTGTTAGGCGCCATCACAACGGGTTGGAAATTTTGGCCGTGACAAGTTCATATCAGAGCCCTAGGTTACTTAGGTCTCACGAGTCATGAGCGAGTTTAGTAGAGTCTTGCGAATCGGTACGAAGACGTCTGTACTTATCTTTGAGAGGCTACTTATCCACTCCCAATCCACACTCAACAATGAGTGGAAGAGTTCGTTGGAAGAATAGTACCCAACTATGAGTTGGGGTCGATTTCCTCAAGGAGATAAGAATGGGTGTTAGAGTGTACACTTGATGCGTGTGGAAGAAATAGCTTAAATACACTTCCAATCAAGTTGGTTTTGCTAATTACTTCTATAAACTACACTATGAATGATTAACTAGAGAAATGAAACTAGAAACTGATGAATTGTTTTTGGTTGTTTTCAAATAGGTAAAAGGCCTAGGGATGTAACCTTCGCCTAGTTGTTAGCCTAATGGGGTTAATTACGTTAGCACTTGCATTAGTGATTGGGGTGTATTATAACTCTCAACTCTAAGTTACCCACTCGATAATTCTCGGTTATAGAGTTATTTTGCCCAATTCATCTTGATCAAGCCCAAATGGGTATCAAGAAAAATAGTTGATATAAGCTCAAGTCGGGTTTTCCCTATCTCTAGTTCAAACCCTTTAATTAGGAAAGTCAAATCCTTCATTAGCATAATTTCTTGTTAGCCAAGTTTTGCTAGACTAGGTCCCTCTTTTTCAAGTAAAGACCAAGTCAAAAAGGCATGCATTAATGTTTCCAACCATTAATTCCAAAATTAACGCGTGAACAAGGGTAAAGAACAAACACCCATTCATAAAAAAGCACTAAATTAATTACCCGTAAGGTTTACATTAGGACGATGGGTGGCGACTCAAACCATTTCCCGGTGGTAATGGGGCTTCATCAAGGATCTGCACTTAGCCCTCTCTTATTTGCTTTGGTGATGGATGCTATAACACACCATATTCAAGGGGATGTGCCATGGTGTATGCTATTTGCTGATGACATAGTCCTGATAGACGAGACGAGGGTCGGTGTTAATGAGAGGTTGGAGGTCTGGAGACAGACTCTCGAGTCCAAGGGTTTCAAACTAAGTAGGGCTAAGACAGAGTACCTGGAGTGCAAGTTTAGCGCCGAGCCGAGCGAAGTAGGCAGGGACGTCAAGCTTGGATCTCAGGTCATCGCCAAGAGGGACAGTTTCAGATATCTTGGGTCGGTGATTCAGGGGGACGGAGAGATCGACGGGGATGTCACTCACCGTATAAGGGCGGGGTGGTCGAAATGGAGGCTTGCATCAGGAGTCTTGTATGACAAGAAAGTGCCACAGAAACTCAAGAGGAAGTTTTATAGAGCTGTGGTTAGACCTGCCATGTTGTATGGGGCTGAGTGCTGGCCGGTGAAGAACTCCCATGTCCAGATAATGAAGGTTGCGGAGATGAGGATGCTCAGGTGGATGTGCGGGCTCACCAGGTTAGATAGGATTAGGAATGAAGTTATTCGGGAGAAGGTGGGGGTGGCCCCAGTAGATGAGAAGATGCGGGAAGCGAGGCTCAAGTGGTACGGGCATGTGCGGAGGAGAAGCCCCGATGCCCCGGTAAGGAGTTGTGAGCGGCTGGCGGTGGTTGGCGCGAGTCGAGGCAGAGGGAGGCCCAAGAGGTATTGGGGAGAGGTGATTAGGCAGGACATGGCTAGAATGCGGATTTCCGAGGACATGGCCCTTGATAGGAAAGTCTGGAGGTCTAGTATCAGGGTTGTAGGATAGGGGCTTCTAGAATTTTTCGTACTTCTGTCCCGGGGCTTGGGGGGGGGGTGGGGGTTTGTAGGCTCGTCCATGGATGATCTGTGTATTGTATTGTGCCCCCTTATGGTAGTTACTGGTCGATATATTTGTTTGCCATTTTTATTTATGGTTTTATGTTTAGATTAATTATTTATGTGATTTCTGCTGGAGTTACTAATGCTCTTTTGTTTTTGGTTTTTTGTTTTTTGTTTTCCTTTTCCTTTTCCTGAGCCGAGGGTCGATTGGAAACAGCCTCTCTGCCCTTTCGGGTAGGGGAGGCCTGTGTACGTATTACCCTCCCCAGACCCCACCTTGTGGGACTATACTGGGTAGTTGTTGTTGTNTTGTATTCCTTTGATGGTGCTCCTACTCACCTTGAGGAGCAGTCCATAATTACTCAGTTGAGGAATTTCAGGAGTGGGATAATATGTTATCACTGTGAGATTGCTTATAGGGGTTGTAACAACTATAGGGGTATCAAATTACTAATCCACACCATGAAAGTCTGGGAGCGGGTGGTTGAGGCGAGGGTGAGGGAGATGACGTCTATATCCGTGAACCAGTTCGGTTTCATGCCGGGCCGCTCCACTACAGAAGCTATCCACCTTGTCAGGAGATTGGTGGAACACTTCAGGGATAAGAAGAAGGACCTGCACATGGTGTTTATCGACTTGGAGAAGGCGTACGACAAGGTCCCAAGGGAGGTGCTATGGAGGTGTCTGGAGGCGAAGAGCGTGCCGGAAGCCTATATCAGAGTGATTAAGGACATGTACGATGGAGCTAAGACTAGGGTTAGGATGGTGGGTGGCGACTCAGACCATTTCCCGGTGGTAATGGGGCTTCATCAAGGATCTGCACTTAGCCCTCTCTTATTTGCTTTGGTGATGGATGCTATAACACGCCATATTCAAGGGGATGTGCCATGGTGTATGATATTTGCTGATGACATAGTCCTGATAGACGAGACGAGGGTTGGTGTTAACGAGAGGTTGGAGGTCCGGAGGCAGACTCTCGAGTCCAAGGGTTTCAAACTAAGCAGGGCTAAGACAGAGTACCTGGAGTGCAAGTTTAGCTCCGAGTCGAGCGAAGTAGGCAGGGACGTCAAGCTTGGATCTCAGGTCATCGCCAAGAGGGACAGTTTCAGATATCTTGGGTTGGTGATTCAGGGGGACGGAGAGATCGACGAGGATGTCACTCACCGTATAGGGGCAGGGTGGTCGAAATGGAGGCTTGCATCAGGAGTCTTGTGTGACAAGAAAGTGCCACAGAAACTCAAGGGAAGTTTTATAGAGCTGTGGTTAGACCTGCCATGTTGTATGGGGCTGAGTGCTGGCCGGTGAAGAACTCCCATGTCCAGAGAATGAAGGTTGCGGAGATGAGGATGGTCAGGTGGATGTGCGGGCTCACCAGGTTAGATAGGATTAGGAATGAAGTTATTCGGGAGAAGGTGGGAGTGGCCCCAATAGATGAGAAGATGCGGGAAGCGAGGCTCAGGTGGTACGGGCATGTGCGGAGGAGAAGCCCCGATGCCCCGGTGAGGAGTTGTGAGCGGCTGGCGGTGGTTGGCGCGAGTCGAGGCAGAGGGAGGCCCAAGAGGTATTGGGGAGAGGTGATTAGGCAGGACATGTCTAGAATGCGGATTTCCGAGGACATGGCCCTTGATAGGAAAGTCTGGAGGTCTAGTATCAGGGTTGCAGGATAGGGGCGTCTAGAATTTTTCGTACTTCTGTCCCGGGGCTAGGGGAGGGGGGGGTTTGGTAGGGCTCTTCATAGATGATCTGTGTATTGTATTGTGCCCCCTTATGGTAGTTACTGGTCGATATATTTGCATGCCATTTTATTTATGGTTTATGTTTAGATAATTATTTATGTGATTTCTGCTGGAGTTACTAATGCTCTTTTGTTTTTTGTTTTTTGTTTTTGTTTTCCTTTTTCTTTTCCTGAGCCGAGGGTCGATTCGAAACAGCCTCTCTGCCCTTTCGGGTAGGGGTAAGGCCTGTGTACGTATTACCCTCCCCAGACCCCACCTTGTGGGACTATACTGGGTAGTTGTTGTTGTTGTTTACACATTTGGGTTGGGTCACAACCCTAGTAAATATCTAGCTACTCATAGTAGAAATGGAAGAAAACAACGAAGAAACACTAATTAAAGTCATAATATAAAATTAAAATGATAAACTGTTGTGTTTTTTACCCAAAATGATCACAAGTTACCAAAAATGGTAAACTACAACGGCTACAGCTCAAAAAACTACCCAACTTTACCTAAAAAAGTGATTTTCGACTATTTATAGTGTCCCAAAATTCGCTGACAAAAATACCCTTCGTGAGGTTCTACAACTGCACAATTCTCGAGTTTGCAGGTTGAGAGATCTTGTAGCCGCACAATTTGATCTGCTGCTACACTTCAGCTTCAGCGGCCACTCAATTCCATGTGTGGTCCGCACTTCTAAAAAGGCTTTAATCTTGGTTGTTTTGCACACTCTCTGAACTTTTTGAATTCTTGTCAGTGCGACCATTTTTTGCGGCTGCACATCTCTTCAATCACCTCTGAGCTTTAATCACCAGATCTACGGCCGCAGAGAGAATTCTTTGGTCTACGCTTTCTTCTGCTACCACAGAAATACTTTTGCGGACCAAACTTTTGGTCTATTGTGCCCCCTTTTGCCTTATGAGCCAGAACACTCCTTTTTGAGTTAGATTTCTTCATTAGAGTCCAAATCTCCAACATTCCTGCAATTTGCTCACTTTCATTAGTTTTGGGAACTTAAATCAACACTTTCGGTCTAAAACAAAAGCAAGAAGGTACTAATAAGTGGTCAAAAAAATTATCAACTCCCCAAACTTAAGTCTTTGCTTTTCCTCAAGCAAATAGATTAGTTCCCACCTCCTCAGAGTGAAAGGTTATTTCAGTGAGTCAATGGTAAGCCATTCATATTCAGTTGGGACCAACAACTACCCACAATACTCATGCATTATCAACAAGGTGACTTCACATATCATACACATATAGTTCTAATGTGACATTTGAGCTTCAAGAATTAATTTTACTGATCAAGGACTCTTATTCTATCATGTAGATCATGGTGGACTCCAAACGCTTCCTACTCTACCTTCCATTTGCCAAGCTCACTTCAATAGTTAGAACTCAATCTTTAGATCAATGAAAGGTTCACTCTTCTCGCACAAAGAATGTCACAAGTACGACTTCAAGTACCATAGGCTTGCCCCTCATATAGATCACCACTAATGCAAGCTCACTCGGTCCAAAATAAAGTAGGACTTCTTTCGGGTGTTAATGAAGTCTTTTTGATTGGGATAGGATACCATATGGGTAAATGGTTGCACCTTTCCTTACGCACTCCACATTTTCATTTCTTGGCTCACATTTACCAATTCTTAGAGGCATTCTCTTTTTCTTGGGTGTTAGAGAGACTTGACATCACTCTTTCTTGTTCATTTCATTTTCTTTACCCCTTGATTCTCATGTTAGGGATAATTACCTCTTTTTTGATTCCATCAACCCTTCCTTTTATTCTCTTTCTTGCATTTTCTTTTTGTTCTTTCTATTTTCTTGCCTTCTATTTTCATAGAGATCATTTCTTTTCTCTTTTTGGTGCCTTGATACCTATTTCAAGTTCCTCAACTCTCCCCTAAAACATATGCCTTAAGCCACTTATTTCACAAGAGTGTTAAGGAAGGTCCAGGTGCAAAGAGAGGATCACGATAAAATGGGTAAAGGCTTATATCATGGTTATCAATTGAGAAAGGCTAGAGGCTCAAAAGGGGTTGGCTAGAGTATCAAAGGGGGTTGGTTAGGGATAAAAACATTGGTTGGAAGAAGAAAGCTCAAACAGACTAAGGAAATCCTAATCATTTCCCAAACCACGCAAAACTAGGATTTCGCCTTGAAGCACATTCGGAGGAAGTTCTAGACCATTTTTATGGGTACTTGGACTAGAAACTAAAGATTACCTCAAACAACTAGACCGTAAAACATGATAGAGTCAAGAACCTACAACAACCACAATCAAGTTAAAGATCACTATGGTCCAATAAATCACTTAATGATTAACCAAGTCAACTCAAGAGTCTCAAAGTCACTAACTAGAGCTATTTTCTTTTAATAACCTTTTTTCAAACCATAAGCACGTAGTTAAGTGTGTTGGTACCAAATGAAACATGAATAACTCTTTTTCGAGAATGACTTGATTAGGTGTTTTATTCATTACTACTACTAATATTATTACTTAAACACGAAAATGGACTCATTCCCTTAAGAATGTTGTCACACCATCCATCATCGGGATAAGTCACCCAGTTCACACAAAACTACCTTTGGAAAGAACTGAGGCATTAAGAAAACTAAAGGCTTATTATCCATACTACTACGAAAAGCATAAAAAGAAGCTACTAACAAAACAAAAACTAAAGTGGAAAATTTAAAGAAGCAAATGAACAATAACCACTAAAAATATATAAACTATGAATAAGAAAAGAAACAGAATCATCCAATTATTACAGTCGGAATGTATCCAAAATGTTTCAATGTCAATCTAATAAACTCCACACCCCGAATAAAAGTAAGCATTGTCCATAATGCTTAACAAAATAAGAGTGAAAAGAGAGAGGGTGAAGAAAACTCCCGTAGCATCCTTGGACATCTCAATGTCCCCAGCAATATCATCGCTCGTTGGGTCAGCCAACTATATCTCATCATCATCATATCTGAGAGTGTCAGGAGTAGCAAACATCGTACGCGCCGGCTCAGCAGTGTCGACAACAAGGCATGGCTCATCAGACTGGCCAGCTAGTACAACCAGTGCATATGGGTCTGGGGCGGACTGGTCTTGGTCAAGTAACATGTCAAAAGGCGAATCCCCAGCTGTTGCAAGTCTAGCCACCTCATTCCTAAGCTTATCAACTGATCTCTTGCTCGCCTGGGACTTCCTCATCTTCTTCACTTCATTGTCCAACTCCTCAATAACTGACCCGTGCTATACCAGAGTGTCCATGATCATCTTCTGGTTATCCGGAACTTGCGCGTCATCCCATCAAGATCAGTGGAGACCTTGTGCCTGTGTAGAGGACTGCGCTGCAACAATACTAGATATCTTAGACAGCTCTGAAGTAGATATCTGCATCCAGTTGTTGAGACTCGCCAATGTCGCGGACACTCACATAGCAGATAATGGAGCTGTAGGCATAGGCCCCGGCCTCGAGAGCTGTACAGGGCTGCCCTGGGGGCTGTGGTAGGACCTGAAGATAGTGACGGAGGCATAGCAGCAGCACTAGAAGAGGGCTCAATAGCGGTGGATGGAATGTCATTTGTATTAGAGACTACTACTACCGGCTCATTAGACTGGCCTATGGTAGAAGAAGGCCGAGCTCCTTTCTTTGGGTTGGTCGCATCTATCAACATGTACCAGTCAAATGGCTTCTTCCGCTTCACCTTGCTATCGA